TTCTTCTAACCTGTCATGCTGCAATGAGTACTTCACAGAGCTTCATTGTCTTCAGTAGGACTCTATGAAAGCCAGAGGTGTAACAACACAGGTGGGAACCCCAGGGCAGCTGCAACACATAGAGCAGTGGTGACATCCCACTGTCGCCATGCTGCCAATGCAATTTTTTGCAACACCCAGAGTGCCTGCCCCAGTTGCCTGATCCTAATTACATCGCTGATAGAAGCATATTTTTTGATAAACTGAAATTGCTTCAGGGAGGGTCATTTCTTTCTAGACTGTAAGCATCTTCTCCTTCTCTATTTTACAAGACCAAGCTTTATCAAAATATATGAAGAGTTTCAATTACATAACTCAGATTACAAATTAAGAGGAACTGTGTTGCAAGTTCCATGACCCATCTTAAAAAAAGGCCAGAGCTTATCTTCATGTTTTTATGTTGTCTGTATCATCCCACCTTCCAAGCATTTCATTACAGCCATTTGCCAACACCTTTTATTCCATGCGAACCACTACAGGAGAAAGCTTCCCTCCGCCCCAACCCCTCCACTTCACAGTCCCACTCACTTTGGTTCTCCAGGGACTACTTGCAAGGGTTTTGTGGACTTTGGAAGCCACTGGTTCCCTCTCTTCCCAGTACTGCCAAGGTCCAAGACCTTGAATTGTAGTTTAAAACATCGTTATTCATAGAATCATAGAAAAGTAGGGATGGAAGGGACTTCCAGAGGCCACCCAAGTCCAAATCCCTGCCTGAGGCACGGTCAGCCCTATTCAAACCATCCCATACAAACCATAATTTAAATTGTACATAAGATAACTGTCAACCCGGACACAAGACAGACCTAACACCCTAACCCTCCGCAAGTAAATCAGGGGAACCGCAGCAGCCACTGTCCTGCTTCTATAAAAGGTTGTCAATATATGCTCAAGAGATCCCAGATAGAGGGCCATGCCCCTGCTACAGAGGAAGGCAACCAGACCCCCGGCCCCACACAATGCGTACCAGTCTGACCATGAGGTAAAATTCCTTCCTTACCCCAACTATGGCAATTGGTCTGACCCAAGCAGAGGGGCAAGACCTTCTAGCCAGGAGTCTCCAGCTTGGGTCCCAGCAAGAGCACTGGCACAGCCCAGTCCAAGTCCCCAGCTTTGGCTGCAGCCAACATTTGGTGCCAAGGGATTCTTTGTACCTAGAAGCTATTGCTGCTGTACAGGCCCCTAGGTTTTGTTAATGAGCATTCCCAGACCTGAGCACTTGTGCGTCTCACTACCCAACAGGACCTGAGTGGATCGTGCATCCCACTACCCAACAGGATTCACAGATGAACACTCAATGCCTCTGAGGGAGGCTTCAAAACACTCCAATACATGGCACAGAAATAGGGGGAGGGGAGCAACCAACAAAGCCCCAAAGCCTGGGAAACCCCCATCTGATAATAACTCATCTACTCAGGGCCTTTTCACAGGAGGTGTGATGCAGCTTGGAGGGGAGTGAGCCTCTGTGATACAGCTGCCTCTTGCTTTTCCAGCTGATTCTGCAAGGGAGGGGAGATCCCAAGAAAAGATTAAACGAGGGTGTTAGGTCTGTGTTGTCTGAGGGTTGAGGGTGGTCTCATGTCGAGTTTAGATCAGTGGTTTTCAACCTTTTTTCTCATTTGTGGACTGCTTTGGAAATTCTAAATGGAGGTGTGGACTGCTTTAAATGGTAAGTGTGGGTATATGCATACTTTTGATTGATCATGCTCATCCTTTGTGGACCCCTTTGACATAGTCTGCAGAGTCCATGGGTCACAGACTGAAAACCATTGGTTTAGATGACAGTTGTATAGGATGGTTTGGACAGGGCTGATCATGCCTGAGGCAGGGGGTTGGACTAGATCAGCGTTTCTCAATTGTGACCCAAAAGTGGGTCGCAAGAATATTTCAAACGGTCGTGAGCAAGTCCCAGGAAAGCATGGAGACTTTGGCTAGGCAGAGGGGTGAAGGGAAGGTGCCAGTTCCTTTCAGCAGGAGAAGGAGGCAGGGGAGAGCTGCATAGCCAGGCTGGTGGCACTGGGGCAGATGTCCATGCTCATGGGGACAGGGTGGCTGGGAGATGCTGCTTGAGGGGTCCAAGGGGCTATGACCAGGCTGCCTGGCTACAGGCCTCCCCTCCTTCTTCCTCCAGCCCCTGCCAGGGCCAGATTTGCTCCGCTGTTGCCAGCATGATCCAGAGCCACAGCAGTTACTGCACTCTGGCCCGAGTGGGATGGGGGCAGCTAGGGGCCTTTCCGGCAGAGCTGAGGGGGAGGGGGCAGGGGCTGTGGGTCGGGTGTGAGGGACACCAGCAAGGTCTAGGGGGGTCATGGAAGTGGCGGTCGTGCACAGGCAGAGTCACAGGGGTGCAGGTTGGGATGGGCCACGGATCCTTGCAAATGGGTCCCTGTAGGAAAAAGGTTGAGAACCACCAGACTAGATCGGGGGTCCGGCTGGGCTGGAGAGGACAGGGGGGCACAGGTCAGGTGTGACAGACACTAGCATGGCCCTGGGGCCAGGGGAGGGGGACTTGGGCACCAGCAGGGCCAGGAGGGTGTGGGTTGGGGCAGGCCACGGGTCCTTGGAGATAGGTCCCTGTAGGGAAAAAGGTTGAGAACCACTGGACTAGATCAGTGTTTCTCAACCCCTGGGTCACAACTAGGGTGGCCATCGTAGAGGACAGTCCGGTTGTCCTCTGTCGATACGAAGCCAGATGCCTTCACGTCCTCTATTTTTCTCTCAACCTTTTTTGTACCAGGACCCGTTTCTAAAGCTCCACGGGCCATCCTGACGCAGTGCCCCTTCACTCCCACCCCCAGTGTGGGGAAGAGGGTAGATGTGTGGGGCAGCTCCTGGTACGCAGGGGAAGAGCCCCCGGTTCCCCTCCTGTGAGGGAGAAGCCATTTTTAAAGTGTGCTCGAGACCCACTTTTGCCTCGTGTACGGGGGGCATCATGAGGGCGTGGGGTGTCAGATCAAGGACAGGCAGAGCAGCCCCACACGCTGGGGGCGGGCGCGAGGGGCAGTGGGGCAGAGCTGGCCATTGATGTTTGGAAGCGTGCCCTAGAAGAGGCGGGGGGACGCAGCGGGTGTGTGAGCTCCGGGCAGCGGGACAGCCCCGAGCGCCGGCGCGGCCCCCACACGGCACAGCAGCCGCGCGGAGGCGGGCGCTGCGAGCGGGCGGAGCCGGC